TCTTTGCGTTTGTGCGACCCCATCTAGAATATTGCGTCCAGGCCTGTCCACCATACCTTGTCCGGAACAACATGTCACTAGAAAGGGTGTTGCGTGTCGATACTAGGTTGGTCGAGGGATTACGAGGACAAAAGTACCCCGAACGCCTACTTAGTTTGGGATGCATTCAATGTATTATTGAAGGATTAGAGGGGACCTAATCCTAACCAACCGTATTTTGACTGGGAAGGTTGGCCCTGATTTATCGTGGCTTTTTGGTCCTGCTAGATTGGTGGACCAGGGTGTTTTCTCGGTGTTTTCCTTTTAGATCCATCAAGAAGTCGGCGCACCCCTATCAACGACCCGCTCAAGAAGGAACACTTACTAGATTCATCCTGTCGTTCCATTCCCACCGGAACTTGAACTTCTACCGATGTTCTTTTCAAAGCCCGCTACAAAGTCCGGATGTTGTTGGTGTGTCTCATCCCAACATGTGCACCATACAAACATGCAAACCACTTACTTTTCTAATACATGAGAAAACTATGATTTTATATATTTAGAATTGATTTACACATCAAGCACGAGAATCCCCAGGTCATTGCATGTAACTATCCATAGAAAGCCAAGTCCTGGGTGTCCGTGTAATGAAAAATGTGTGAGCAAACGCACTTAGTGGTCCTGAAGGTATAAATGTCATTGCAGTTCAAGTGCCATATATGAAATAATCGCCTGTAACGCACAGTAAATTGCAAATGAAAGCTGTGGAATAAGTGTATTGGGAATAACTTTTTCAGTGAACACATGGATATAGGCTGTGGGATATGTAAACTTTGTTTCCATCCTAACAAGTCAAGCACGGTGTCACCGCGGTCACAAACTCCACAGCACTCACAAAGTCAGCGAACGAGGCAGCTGAAGTCCTTTGCCAGCGGCACGCATCCACATTCTTCGTTCCATCAATGCATACAACGATAGTACCTTCTTCGGTCTCACCCCTAACTTCCCTGACGACTGTTCAGTTCACTCCGGAGAAGGTCCTGGTGAAACTCAAATCTCTGCGGCTAACGGCCTCTCCTGGCGCTGATGGTTTCCACCCAAGGCTCTTGCAAGCGTGTGCTGCAGCTTTAGCTTTGCCCCTAGCGGAGCTGTTCACCCACTTCTTCTCGCAAGGCAAAGTTCCCAATGCTTGGAAATGCGAGATTATTACGCCAATCTACAAAGGTGGTACTCGCAAAGACCCGGCCAATTACCGACTGATAAGCCTCCTCTCTACGATCTCCAAAATGATGGGATCGATCGTCGCAGAGGCTTTAATGGTCCACATGGCGGCTTAGAAACTGCTTTCCGGTTGCCAGCATGGCTTCCGGCGTCAACGGTCGTGCCTGAGTAACCTGCTTCTTGCCAGGGATAGCTGGATGACTGCTGCCGACTCTGGCCTAGAAACGCATGTCATATTCTTGGATTTCACCAAAGCCAAAGGTCGACCGCAACATTCTACTACAGAAACTGTTGTACAGAAGAGTAGTAGGGGGAGTTGAATGGTATAGGTAGAAATTCGTCACATCTAGACTCACTCAGACAGCCACCACATGTCCGGAAAAGCACTGTACGCGCGTTTCATCCTTTCGGGAATCATCAGCAGTGCGCATTCCATCGGACCCTTGGTAGGGCTCGAAACCGCAACTCGACTGTTGCCAGTCCGTGGTTGAGACCACTGAGCACGGGGGACGGCAACGACCATCGTGAATAAGTTACTAGATGTGATATAGCGCCGCTCACTATCCACTGACTTACACGTTACTGCCGTGCAGAGGACAGGGTAGCCCCCTCACCAAGCGACGAGCTTAACAAACTTAAGCCGCCAATTATCTTATGGCATTATAAGCAGTTTGTTCTGTGTACTGATTACAGAAGAGTAGTAGGGGGAGTTGAATGGTATAGGTAGAATTTCGTCACATCTAGGCTCACTCAGACAGCCGCCACAAGCCCGGAAAAGCACTGTACGCGCGTTTCATCCTTTCGGGAATCATCAGCAGTGCGCATTCCATCGGACCCTTGGTAGGGCTCGAAACCGCAACTCGACTGTTGCCAGTCCGTGGTTGAGACCACTGAGCTACGGGGGACGGCAACGACCATCGTGAATAAGTTACTAGAAACTGTTGTCTTACGACGTTTCAGGAGTCTTGATGGACTGGATCTGAAACTGCCTTTCATCAGACCCGACCCGAACTTTTTTACCCTATGGGTCATGTAAAGCTCGAGCTTTTATTCCCATTAAATACTATGCTCCAATGAACCGTACCGTCCAAGTACGTGTCGACAGAGCCTTGTCCTCCTCGCGTCCTTGCCACAGGCGGAGTTCCACCGGGGTCTGTTCTCGGACCGAACATTTTCCTAGTCTTCATTGATGATGTCACGCCGCAAGTGGAGTCTTCGCTGCTGCTATATGAAGATGACGCGAAGCTCTGGCGCACAAATAACATCCCGGACGATGCTCACGCACTTCAGACGAACCTCGGTTGTCTACATCAGTGGACCATAGAAAACAAACCTTCCATTTAACGCTACGAAATCTCGCCTCCTTTCTACCCGCCTTTCCGCTTTTTCTCCCATATATTTCCTGGGAGCGTCTATCCTCCAGATCTCTTCAGCCGAAAGAGACTTGGGTATCATTACCCAGACGAGTCTTTCCGTATCCGCTTCCTGCCTCAAAGCAGCTGCTTCTACTAACCGCATGGTGGGGTTGCTGAAACGAGCCTTCGTTCAAATTCACCCTAGCAATTTGCGCCTCCTCCCCAATGCTTTTCTTCGACCCCACTTGAAGTTTGTTATTCAGGCTTGGAACCCCTGGCTGCTGAAGGACCAACGTACACTCGAAGCCCCACAACGTCGAGCAACAAATCTGCTCCGAGGTCTCAGGCACCTAGATTATCCACGACGACTCCACTGCCTGGGCCTGTACTTGCTTAAGTACCGACGTCTCCGGCGCGACCTGATCCTTGTATTTATGATCTTATCCAACCCAGGACATCCCTGTCGCCACCTACTCACACTGCACCAATCGTGCTCCCACCTACGTGGCCACCCACTGAGGCTCACACATCAGCACAGTCGGCTGAACTGCAGACGACACTACTTCGTTTTGCGACTCTGCCAGCCGTGGTATGCTCTGCCTCCCTATTTAGTCTTGGCACCCCCTGAGGCGGATTTTAAAACCCGCCTGGACTGTCATCTGGCCGAGCTACACCACGATATTCCCTGAGCCAACTGCGTTCTACTTGATGGAGTTTTTCTTTTTTTTCTATTCTGCCTAATTCCTTTCCATAACCGTTTCGGAGAGCGCGGTGAGATGTCACGTTTTGAGACGGCGTGAATTCTGTTTAAATGTCGCTCGGCCTTTCATCATACCCGACTTGAACTTTTTTACCCTATGGGTCAGGTGAAGCTCGAGCTTTTATTCCCATTATATACAATGCTCCAATGTTAAGATGCGGAGAAGGCTTCCTGTGAATATTCAAGCGTAGAACAACTATAAAGTCTCAAATTTTATATGTTATCCTTGCGTAGAAATCATTGTAAGCTTCACTGTATCGTACCAAGTGTAGTCTATGTGCCACTGGAGCGAGTACAGAAGCCGACGCACCCAGGATTGTAACCTGGGCAGCCGGGTTGGCAATTCCGCACGCTACCACTACGCTATGCCTACGTGCCTTTAGTTAATGAACGAAGCCACCTCGGAGATCATTCACTTGCTCCCGTTTTTTCAGATTCAAATGGGACTGGAACGATAGGAAAATCCCTTGAGTGTTCCTTCTTGAACGAATCCTTGAGTCAGGAAATGCTCAGGTGCTACGAGGTCTTCGTGGATCTAAAACGAACCACCCGAACCACACCCTGGTCCAGCAATTAGTGCACACTTTCCTTGCACTTGCAGTCCCGCTGTGTAGGTCACGTGAAGTAAGGAAGACGTAGAAAATATGGAAGATAAAGATGAAGGAAAGTCATTTAAATGAGGGATAACACCAAAGATTGAGATGATTGACAGAATATGAACTCAGAGTTGGAAAATGGTTATGGTCAGGAGAAGGGAAGAGTTACGCGTTGCCACCCAAGAGCGTTTAACTGACGTTCAAAACCCTTAACCGTAGGTTCACTGACTACACTTTCTGGAAGCGAGTTTCAGCGTTTGGTAACTCTACGCGATAACCGAGTTTCCGCCCTAACCCGGTCGGAACGCGGCTTGTGTAGCTTCATAGGATGACCACGATGACAAGGCAACCTAACCGGGCTAAATAGCCAGCTCAAGTCTGGTCCAACCTTCCTGTTAAAATACGGTAAGTAAGGATTAGATCTTCTCGAAGCACTTCGGTAGTGCATTGAATACCTACCGAAGCTAAGTAGACGCACGGGGTACGATTGCCCCCTTAACCCCTCAAGCAAGTTGGTACTTACTCACAATACCTTCTCGAGCTCCATTTTGTCCCAAACTGGGCAGGGCGGGCCAGCCTGGACGCAGTATTCCAGATGAGGCTGAACGAAAACTGAGAACAGCTTCACAGAAATGTCAGCGGTTGAGACCCCCGAGGGAACGGCGTATTAACCACAACCTTCTGAAACACCTACTTGCGACCTTCTCCCAGTTGTCACCAGACTGCAAAGACGAGGAATGGATGATGCCTAGGTCCACCTGGTTGGAGACAAGGTGGAGTTCGACACCACCAAGCACGCACCTCGAAGGTGGGAAGGTTGCTTCTATACGAAGGAGGGAACACAGCCTGATTAATGGGCAGTAGCCACTAAGTAAACCAGTCCCAGAGTCTGTCCAGAGCATGCTGTATGGCTTCAGAACCCCCGGGGACATTTACAACATTCCATAGCTTAAGTTTGCAATAACGCACACTCTATTGGGTTCTCTTTTTCGTTTCACGTCATTCTTATGGGGTCCGTACAACTATTGAAGCAACAATAAATCTCTTTTAAACACTTGATTAAGTATCGTTTTTTCCATACATTCCCAAGTGATTTTATGAAGAGGCTGCTCACTACTCTTAATTGGCCATGAAAAATTTGAAAGAGAAGTTTGCGTTGGCTCAACACATCGCTCATTCTCACGGCAAGTGCTGTATATTTCTTATTTCCCTCTCAGGTATTTTGAAGCTGTCAGATGGTTCACCTGCCTCACTACCCTTCACTTTGCTTCCATCCCCATTCCCAAAAGCATCACTGCTGTTCGCCAAATCCATTCAGCGAGATTTTAATTTGTTATTTCACAAAGTTGCTTTTGATTATCCTTTTCTAAACTCATTGATGAGCCAGTACGTCTATTACGCCTTTCATGCTACAGAGTTATTGAAGTTGATCCCTACATCCAACGCTTATGGAACATACTACTACTAGTGAACAGCGAGAAATGCCAACAAGTAGGTCCGTTACCTTGATTTTCAGTCATTTGGCCTTGTATCTTTTGTAATACACAATTTGACCTTCGTTCGGCTCTCGAACTGTGCATTCCGCAAAAGCCGCTTAACCTATTACCTCGGCTCCCTCTACCAAGTGGTATTTTTGATGAGCTTATTTAATGTGCACGTTTATTATAGATCCGTTCTTTGAGTCGCAAAGGGGATTGCTGCATATTACATTTAAAAAGTTTTTCATTCTAACACGGTGTTTTGATCGTGGTGGCTAGGTCCTATGTCCATTTTAGCTTATTGACTGCTTAGTGAATAAGATTACTGTGTAGAGAACTACTGCATCCCACTTTATCATAATGACATTGCCTAAAATACATTGGTCTGAACATAAAACAGTGGTGTCAATGATGCAGCGGGAAACGTCATTGCAAACTCATGAATCTGTGAATTGCGCAATTGCATCGCATCAGCTGGGGTTTATGACCGTGGGTTGCAATTTCATCCTTGACTCTGTCATGGAGTGTTCCCTTACGGAACCTCACGATTTAGGTGTTGGGCTCCTGCCTGTTGAAAGGTCAGTTGATCTATATTATGCGGACGATATCGTCTTGCTTTTTGCCGATCTTGGGGCGGCTCAATCAACCCTGATTAGGCTCTCTAGAGTGGTCCCATTATTTGGTATGCGATTCGCACTTTCGAAGTGTGAAGTATAGCTGCAGGACCACCAGCCACTTAATGACCCCTTGACCTTTGATAACGAGGGACTCGAGGTGGTGGATCGATTCACTAACCTTGACAGCGGCAACAGCAACAATGGGCGCATAGAAACTGAAGTCAGTTCACGCAATGCAAAGCCAGAATCGCCTTCTTGAACCTGCAGTATCTTTGGCGACAGAAGAGAATTTTCCTCAGCCTGAAAGACCGTGTTTACATGGCCACAATGAGGACCCTCCTGCTCATGAGAGTGAGACTTGGCCCCTTCGGTCTGAAGATCTGAGGCACCTACAACTCTTTGATCAACGTTATCTGCGAAACATTGCTGGTGTCTGATGGCAGCAGCGTGTCCGCAACGATTATGTGCGTAAGCAAGTTTTAGGCAGTGATATCCAAGCTAGTTCCTTAGAACAACAGATAGCACTGAATAAGTTACGTCAGCTTGGGCACATACTACGTATGCCTGGTCATCGATTACCTAAGATGGTCATGTTTACTCTGCCAAGTGTAGGATTTCGCAAAGCTCAAGGTCGATAAATGTTGATTTGGCAGCGGGAACTGAAGTCACTGATGACCACACTGCGTGTCGTCAATCCGTTTCGCTTTCCGGGCTGCAGTCCACGTGACCCGCGTTGTTCTTGGCTCGAGACTTTACGGGACATGCCTCGCAACACACACCAGTGGCGTGTCTGCTGCCGTCTCCTAGTCGGACTACTTGCTTTACGTGTGTTTAGTGCCGAGTTATCTGCTGTGTACTGACTGATTATGACATGGGGCAATGAAGGCCGCAAGGAAGCTGTCTCACAGTTGGCGCTTTATCTTTGCACGATAGCCAGCTGTTTGTGACGGTATGTTGCTAACACAGGGTGTAGGCGCCTTGACGCTGAACGTTTGCTAAGTGCATTAAGATTTTCATGTACGCCCACTCCTCTCCCTCTTATTATTCTTTATTTCTTATGTCGTCACGGTTGTATGGTAGCCAAACATGTGTTCAAATGATTGGTGTACTGCTGTTGTTTGATTTATTGACTGATTGCTGGCACCTAGTTTTCCGAGATCAGGTGTGCTGATCAGTTGGAAGAATTTGCGCTTATTGGCTACTGCTTTTCCCTCCTGTTTCTTGGGCCATGCTGTTCCACCAGGCTTCCTTGTCAGCAGGTAGGCTCCGCTTTATTTCGCGCTTAATTGTCCGTCTGGTCACATTGTGCTCAGAGCGAGCCAGGAATCTTCTTATGGATTTTGACAGGTTCACAGATTGCTCGGAAATCCAGTAGCTAGTGCGGGGACGATTGATAGCGCAGCAATCGGAGGCTCTCGTGTCGAACATAGGGGCGTGGAAGCTCAGTTTCATTAGGGCGAGAGAGCGAAATTTCGAGACGCAGGGCATCCTAGTAGGCTTGCCAGACCGGAGATTGAGATAACTACTGAGTCGCCAATCAAGTTCACGGAAAAACGACATAGGAACAAGTGATGATCAAAATCAACGCAGGTATTCCGGAATGAGCGACCATCCAGAATGGAACCACATCACCTGTTGCTTATGACAATATGCTCTATTTAGGTTTATCGCTGGCCAGCCACAAGAAGACTTCAAGTGGCACTTCGGCGCCCACTGTGTCTGAAAGCGGTGCTACTAAGAATCAGCCGGTGCTCCGTGCACAGTCGCAACAGATGATGGCCACCGTTCGTATGGTCGGAGTTGCGTCCATACCTACCACCTAGCTGGGTTCCTGAAGAGCTCAGATAATCTGGTTGCGCATACATATCCCATGCAATAACAACGATATCTGAACTAATAACACTACCAAGCAGCATGTTCAGTCTGTAGTAGAAGGTGCCCTTGACAGCGTCATAACTGCAGCCGGTAGGGGACATTAGCGGAAAACGTAAACAAATAACGCCTAGTACTACTTCGTGGATCAACGCCAGTTGGCCTCGTCAAACGGTTTGCACACAAAGGACTGTTCACGGGAATCCAATCAACCAACCGTGACTCGGCCTTGGAGTTTAGTACAATATCCACCACGGCATGACCAGTGGGTGCCGCAAAATACAAACCCCTCGCACTTAATTCAACAACCCTGTGAACGTCATTGATCCTTGTTTCGGATGCACAACATACGTCAAAACATAGGGTGTCCGACATGCGTGCAAGTACATCTTTTTGACATATTCCTCTTAGAAGACGAACGTTAAACGCCGCCAGAGGAAACGGGATAGCGTGACCTTCTAAAAAGATGTTTCCCATAGGCGGCGTCTAGTGGTTAGTACGGGAAGATACCTGCAAGCCGTAGAACTGCAGTCATCATCATCATCAATACACGTCAGCCAAGTGTGGGCAAAACCTCAGCTAATGTGCCGCAGTCGAACTGCAGTGGCATGTCAGGTACTGTCAGTTAGGCTGGGAACTATGGACTCACGTCCCCAGACGAACAGTAAATAAAAGCGGTAAGAAAATGAGGCAGAATTCGAATGGAAAACAAAGGATATTGAAACAAGAGAGAAGTACGTTAAACTAATCGATGTGGAATGAAAATTAGCGGGATACAAGAAACCTAATGCCACAAAGCCACTGATCGCGAAACGGCTCCACGTCTGTTGAAGTCTCCAACCACTGATGTGGACCCGACTGGCCCGCACCCATGAAGACGGCCTGACCAAGTCTCACAGTCAATGTCTTCGTTTTTAGGCTACGGCATCGCCTGGCCGTCATGCCGTTTTTCCCCACTTTGTGCACCGACGGCGTATAATGCATGTCAAGGAAAGCGGTTGACGGGTATATAGAAGGCATGACCTAACCAACCTAAACTTTTGTGTTTAAGCAAACACCCTGGTAAGGCACAAGAAGGTTTGTTACCAAGTACCAACTGGTGGACCTCAGCATTGCTTATCTGATGTTCCCCTCAGATGTGGGTAATACCCCGTAAGCACCAGCAGCTAAACACGACCAAGCGTTTAATGTCTTCACTGCGAACTTTCCAGTCTTTGATCCATATAGTAACACCAGCCCCATTGCAGCGTTCCACACTCTACCTTTCACTGATAGATCGATATCTCGCCGCCTCCATAGATGGTTGAATCTCTGGAAAAAAGCTACTTCAGTGATGAAAGCACCAGGAGTGCCAAAACTGCCAAGACAAGTGAACCGATTCACCGCTTCCAGTGGCTGTTCGGTGCCAGCTAGAAGTGGTGGCGTATCGGTCCAGTCCTGCAATAATACATTGCATATTGAAAGGGCAAATCACATGCCGAAGCATGTGACAATACGCGTCAGTCTGTTAAGCAGTGCTTGCATAGCCACTGCGTCAGACCGACTGGTTCCACTGCCCTTCAGTGATACGGGCACTTTCCCGATATGAAATACCGGGAAAGGTCGGTAACACAATTGAAGAAATAAGGGAAGTTTTATTCCCGACTAAGCGAAGAACACATACCTGAGGGATTTCGGATGCAGCAACACCAGGCTGTTTCTTCTTGTTGCTTCCATCCATTAATTAGTACGACGCACCGTTTAGAGTATACGACTAGCCCATATGTCCACAAATTTTTTCTGGACTACTTGACCATTTTATGGGTTCATGATGGTACACTAGGCCACACGAACCAGGATGTCCGAGGGGATTGTTTTACCCTGACACATACAATGTCATGTTCAGATAATGAGTTCAGCTACAGTATGTTATTGAGGTGATCGTCAGTAATCTGAGAATGCAGCTTATTCTTATAAAACTTCCTGGGGAGCAGCTTCTTGCGAGCGTGGATGCCACGGAACATCGCAGTTTGACGATTTGAAGAAGCTGACGAAATTAGAAATTGACCAGATGTTAGCTGACTGTATCAATCAATAAAATCAGTGGAATATATAAACTTCGACAAGACAAACTGAATCCTGAATCTCATTCACCTCTGAATGTGTATCGGGGGCGTCGTCGTAGTGCAAGTCTACTGGAGTCTTGCTGATCTTGTGAACGAGAGTGCACATTAATAAAGCACAAAGAAGATTCGCTCAACGGAGTTGGCAGCAAACTTATGCATTCCCCATTGTCAGGACTGCAAGCGAACAGCCTCAGTCTTTCACTAGTCCGTGGTATAATCTCTGTGTTTGCGTTCTTGGCATCAAAATGCGCCTCGAGATTCCATCGCTTGAAAGTGCTGTTTGCTTTACTTTACGCTAAACACAGCTTTGTTGCAGCGTTGAACGAGGAATGATTAATTATTTCCTCTGGAGGTGGCGTTTTAGATTAACCTTCCGGTGGCTGATATAGTGATCTTTACTATGATCATACCCATGAAAT